CCCTAAACCCCTAACCCCTATAATCCCCTATAAACCCCTATAAGCCCTACAAACCCCAAACCCGAGGGGACAAGTTTCGACCTGAAGGCTGTGGATCTGGCGCTACATCAGGGCATATGGTAACCTCCAAAAAGCTGGAAACCGGATTGGGGTTTAGGGTTTAGGGGTTTAGGGTTTAGGGTTTAGGGGTTTAGGGGCTTTGGGTTTAAGGGTTTAGGGCTTTAGGGGTTTAGGGGTTTAGGGGTTTAGGGTTTAGGGGCAATGAGTGCTGTTATTCCCTATATATGATTCTTAAGCATTGAGGCTATTAGCGGGGCTTACAGCTTCTTTGTACATGGCCTCAAACCCTAAACTCCTAAACCCTAAACTCTAAACCCTAAGTTAAACCCTAAACCCTAAACCTTCTAACATAAACTTAAACCTTAAACCTTCTAATAAAACCCCTAAACCCTAAGCCTTCTAATAAAAACCCTAAACCCAAACTCCTAGAAGCCTCAACCTAAGGGTCTCTGCTAGCCTGGATCTGCTAGACGTGCGACGCACCCAACGCAGGCATCCACGCTCTGTCCGGAGCGCGACGCCGAAACCGCAATGGTGGCGTTTTCTAGGGCTCCCTGGAAAGGATGGATCCGGGCTAGATAGGGGTCTCTGAGACTCTCACATCCTACATTATGGTTGTATCTTGGTGCAAGCTCTGCATGCACGTGCCTGTTCGCAGGAAGATGCTGTCCTTCTGCGAAATCTTGTGAATTCAAGCGCCACATGTGTTGAACATTGCCGCCCATCGTATAGCAATGCTGCTCGTGCATATTGCTGCAGCGCAATAGGCAGGAGCTTGTGATGAGTAGTGCAGCAGGGTATTTACATCCATGCCGCTTCGAACCCCTAACATATTGCACATCCAATCTGCAAGTATATTGGATCAGCTAGTAAAGCACTGACGCAAAAGCACCAACAACACCATCACCAACATCAACAACAGCAACTCAACCACCACAACCACGACCAGGACCAGGACCAGGAAAAGGACCACGATCGCAACAACAACAACAACAACCACCCCAGCTGCTGCTGCTGCTGCTGCTGCTGCTGCTGCTGCTACTACTACTACTGCGACGACGACGAAGATGACGACGACGTCGACGCCGACGACCACTACGTTAACCTTCTTTTGTATCCGGACTACTACTACAGCCACTACCAGCCCCTCCTCAACGGGCGCCCGGCCGGACGGATTCTATCGAATGAAGGCAACAACAGTACATGCAAGCATCTAACGCGGACAAGCAGTAGTCGTGGAGAGCTACAGAACATGGTGCAAGAGAGCCCTGTGTGCGTCATCCAGGCCCCTGCATGCACCTTCTGCTGGAAGCGGCTGAAGAAGCTTTTGGCCGGAGAAGCAGCCGAGGCAGGGACAGAGCCACCGCAAGGCCATCCCACTAGCATGGCAGCACCATGTCGCAAAACTACATCTACCATGGCAGTAGTACGTGCCGTTTGGGACTTGTTTGGCTGAGACACAAAGACCCTGTCGCACCTTTTGGCTGTGTAATAATAGTAAATTATTTGAACATTAATCATAATAATAATTTCTCTTGAGCCTGTCATTAATGAAAGTGGATTCTGGATTCTGGTCTCGATCCCGACTATTGACACATCTTGCTGTCACACTCGCCCCCACCACCACCACCACCACCGCCGCCGCCGCCACCACCGCCACCGCAACCCCCACCGCCACCACCACCACCACCACCACCACCACCGCCGCCGCCGCCGCCGCCGCCACCGCCAGCGCCACCACCGCCACCACCACCGCCGCCACCACCACCGCCGCCACCACCACCGCCGCCACCACCACCGCCAGAACCACCACCGCCACAACCACCACCACCACCACCACCACGACCACGACTATACTACAATACGCCGGACCCCGACGGCATGCACTCAAAAGAAAACAAACCAGCCCGACGACTGAGATCCAGGTAGACTTGCGAAGCAAAGGCCACGGAAGCGTGACAAATGCTCACCGAGGCCTCTGTCGAGCCTTTCGGATAGCTCAGCAGGGCAGGAGGGTTATGCAAGGCTCCTGAATGGAGTAGCTCGTGAGGTCTGCATCCCGACAGTCCTGCCAAGCTTGGGCAGCGACTCTGCCCTCGAACTCAGAACCACTTTGATCTTAGTTTTCGCTGCAAGGGGTTGCATACGATTCATATGAAACGACCACTGGACAAAGCAACGGCACGTTCCAGTTCGCAAGAACAACAATGGCCCGACTGCAGAATCGCGAGCTTTGACCTCTAGAGGAGGGCACGGGTGGGGACGATGCAGAGCTTTCGCATCGCTCGGAGTGCTGCACCAGCTGTTCGGCTGTTGGTTTATCTAAGCGGAGTTCGGCTGGCAGCGATATTTCGCGACAACTTTGGGTTGAATCGGTTTAATCTGTGGCGGCTGCAGCTGCCCAGCTGATGATGAGCTATGGTCTGGAAGTGCTCTAAGGCCGCATGCCCCAAAAAGGCATGCGGGCTTTGGAAGCCGTTCGGGCTGAGTTCCGTTTTCTTCGGGTTACTCTACTACGAGGCTGTGAGATGTGTCAAAACAACATCAACACCAAAATCAGCATCGTTCAGCAATGCAGCGCTTACAACTTTGCCATCATACTTGACATGCCTTGGCCACGGCTTAGTCCCCTTGCAGGTTCTTCCGCAGCGTTTGGGTGCAGAGTTGAGAATCGCAAGTGCATCAGGGCTGCAGAATTGAAAGCTGGTAACCCGCACCAAACACACAGCAGGCAAGAGCTCGCCTCGAGTCCTGTCTGAGATTTCGACGAGGCCTCTCAGGCTAAACAGCTCGCAGTCTCTCTCGCACAATCGCACATCTTTTCACATTCAGACGAGTGCAGAGCCACGCAAAAAATCGGGTCATCGCTTTGCAGTCGCAGGCTCTCAAGCTACCACCCTAGCCTGGAAGTCTCGCACAGAAACCTGGCACGAGATCCAGCTTCCAAGACACAGGGCATGGTCAAATCAGCTGATAATGGCCCTCTTCTGCTGTCTTTGCGCCCTCGGATTGTGAAGTGACTCTCGCCCAACCCACTAACCGCGCTGCAACTTTTAGGTACCGCATCTTGCCATGACTGTCTTGAACCACAAAACATACATGAACGCCAAACCGGCAGCTGCTAACCCTGCACTCTCGCAAACTCTAGCACTTTACCACTGCCGGTGACCCTTTCCCCACCTACTCCCACCTGGCTTCACCTTGTGCTCAAATCTTTCTATGGCTGTGTCTGTGCCTTTGTGCTGGGGTCTGTGGTTCTTTACGTGGAAGCCAGCGGAATTCCGCAAAGTGCAGAATCGGTGACACGAGGGCGCACCCTGAAGATGTCGCGGGTTTTGAACCTGCAGCGGGCCGCTCGCTCGAGCCGATTTGCACAGGCAAGACAATGCAACATGCCATCGCCTGTCAGAAAATCTCACATCAGATACTGTAACAAGGTGCTGAGGCAGTGTCTCGTCCCGTAGCAACAAGCAGGCCGTGTGTTCTCGAAGGTCGGAAACCTGCACCAGGGCTGGCAAGTTAGCACTTCAGCAGTCTCTTCAGATGTCAGAATATGAACGATCAAGCTGGAGTTTGCGCAACCTCACAATCCACAGGATCATAGGAGCATGGCCCTGCGCTCATGCAACATGCCTTGACGTTGAAGCCTTTCCCAAGAGCCGTCTGCACCAACTTCACATCGTGAACGAAGCCTGGGCAACGCTTGACTTCGGGACGAGGCTTTCGTCGCTGAGTTATTCAACTTGCGGCGCACACACACACACACACACGCACACACACACACACCAATTTAGCTCCCTCTGCGAGACTGTCGACTCAGCCCCCGCGCGAGGCGGGCTCTCAGTCTCGCCTTCAGGCGGCGTACTTGGAAAGACGATGGTCTTTACCTTGGCGGCTTAGCGTCCCACCACGCAGTCAGCATCCCTTCACTTCTTCGAGAGGCCATATGCACCAGTCTTGCAGATTCTTGCAGACGTGCAACGAAACTGCTGGGGTCCAGGCCGGCTAAACATGCTGAATGTCAAAGCATTGTTCCTATGCTGTCTCGGACTTGGCTCCGGGCCCATGAGCCGTCATTGAGCTGTCGCCCGACCAGGGCATCGGGCAACCTGTCCTCACAGTGCCGCAAGGCTGCAGTGCTGCAATGGCAACATGGGAAACGCAATGGACAATGCTTACTGGCCCTTACGCATGGCCGCAGCACACTTGGAAGATCCACCTGGAATCAGAAAACTCCGAACCCTTTTGGCTTGCGCAGCCTTCGCAGGGTTGCTGTGCACGAGGCACCTGCTGAAAGATTTGTGGGCAAAGCTACGGCTGGACAAAACAGTGCTCCAAGCAGTTAAGGGTCTCGGAATGATGTGAGTAAGCTCTTGCGCGTCGCTGCTGGGAAAGAGCATGCGCAATTGGTCTTAATACATATGTTTTAATGAGCGGACAAATACCCTAAGCCACCGCCAGCTGGTTGCCTATCCAAAAAACCCATGGCCCTGACCTCAAAAATGCAGAATGTTGTCGAGTGCACTCGCTGTGCACATGTCACAGACCGGTCCGACACAAGGATGTCGTAAACCTCCATAGTAACGAATCGACAGCCTGCTTTCTTCTCCTCTTCCTCGGTTTTCGCCACTTCGACAGGCATGACTTCACCGAAATTGAGGAGCTTAAACCGAGTCGGAGCAGGGTGAACCCAGAAATCCGGAACGGAGAAATCACGCCGGATATCCGCGAGAAACACTCCCTGGATGTGCGGTTTCGGAGCCTGTGCTGTCGGCCATCCACGAGTGTTCCCTGCCACGCAGGGCTCAAGCAGTAAAGAAAAGACTCGAGCTGGATGGGCAAAGAAAGCGAAGCAAGGCTAGATCGGCATGCATGCGGGCTTTGCAGCAACGATGCAACTCCAAGCATTGCCTCGATCTCCACAGACTCGGAGTAAACTCTCACCTTTGATGCAGTAGCCATCATGTAGAAATGTGCTGCGAACCGATGCATCTGCAAAGGTGCTTATTAATCATATCGCGGCTGCATAGGCTTCAAGTGTCTCGATTTCAGCAGGTATGTACCGAGCTTGTGGGTGCTGCCGCGCCACAGTGTGCGTTTGTGTAGAGTCTCCGTGCTAAGGCTGACGAACAAAACAATATGCTGAGCATAACATGTGATGCCCACGATTCACATTGCACTGACGATGTTTCCAAGGCAGACATGCAGTCACGAACACTTACGCTAAAGCGCCAGCCAGCCAAGTCAAATTATCCGGGCCCACTGCAATGGACATGGCGCTCCCTCTGTTGTCGGCAGGGTTGAAAAGCTTGCTGGCCGTGCTGTCCTGAGTGAAGCATAATTTCTCGTTGGGAGGTCGCTATACTCAATGACCCAAACTAAATCTTGTACTTGCTCGTGCTTAAGCGGAACACATAGTTGCCGGCAACACCCACCAAAGCCCTGTCCTACGGCGTATTGCGAATTTATTCACGGTGCGACAGGAATAGCACCAAACACAAACCACGTCAGAATGAAGCGGGGGCTCTGATCGCGATGTGTCTGCCGTGATCCACAGCAGACCATGCCTGGGATGCCGAACAACCTCGCTGGGTGCAACACGCGAACAACCTTGCTCAAGGAAGCCACAGACAGTGCAGCGAATGAGTAAGCTTCGTGCTGTTGGAGTCTGCCCGTGCGGCTGATGTCCCGAAAAGACGCGCCGAATGCCCGACCTCATGGAGGTGGGTTTACATTGTCTCGTCAGGGACGGTCAAGCAACGCAAAGAGGGCAGTCATCGCCCACGAAACAGCAAGGCATGCCGTCCTGAGAGACACAATAACATGTTACGTGAGCATGAGCACGAAGGGGTATGTCGGTATTCGCCTGAGCAAAGGTGCATGCATCTAGGCTAGCTGCTAACATCCCAGATGAGTGATGCCGAATGTTGCACACTGAAAAATGCCAGCCTAATCGCACAATCATGTGGATTGGCTGCTGTTAGACTGTGGGCATGTTCAGGTGGGTACAGAGGGCTGTTCAAGATCATCGAAGCTCCGAGCATGTTCCGACCTTTTCTGTGAGTGCATGCTAGAGCATATGCGCTTGCCCATTACGTGCCCGGTTCATCTACTGCCTACGGGTCAAAACCTTGTGCGACACACCCGACCGAGCACTGGGCCTTTCCAGGTAGTCTTGCACCTTTGGTGGTCACAGCTGCGGCAAATGTAGAGAAAGTAACGGATGGGGACGGCTTTAGAATGCGGATGCTTAGCTTCGGTCGAACTCGCATCCTCGACAACCCGTGGCGGCTTGCTGAAGCTGCATCGTCTGTGTTCTTACGTGACGTTTGTGGAGCCAGGTCCCGCATGGTCCGCAGCAGGTGTCAGCAACCGAAGGCTCTAACTCCGATCCCTTCAGCATCCGCCGCTCCACTGCAGCATGAACCAGCCCGATCTTATTTTTCGTGCAGCAATGCGCGCAACAAGATCCTGCATCACCACAGGCATGTCCAAGCCATGCTCCCAAGTAAGCCTGGAGGGTCGACGAAGTGCCTTTCGTGTCGACAGAGTCCGTGCTGGAAGGGCCCCTTGCTTCCATCAGTCTCCGTGTGCAGAGACCGCCCCAGCCCACGCCCAAACATGCCATCCGTTCCGGTTGCAAGACTGATCTCGACACAACTGCCGTCAACTCACTGCTGCTGCTCCCTCCTTCTCGTTCTCCTCCCCTAATTCCTTTGTATCTGCTGTTGGGTCATTGAAAGGCTTCCTTGGAATTCTCACCATGCCGCGTTCTCCCTTCTCCAAGGTCCCGAGGCCGGGAATGGGCCCGCCGCAGTCACCACCTCGACTGACTTCTGTTATCGTCGCTCCCCGCCTTTCTTCCCCCTGCGCGCCACAAACTTCAGGAAACTTTCCGGAGGAAAGTGCAGCTACGCAGATCTGTACTGTATGCAGCAGTACAACAGCTCGACATGAGATCCGTGGCCCAGCCTTCTCTGAGCGTTGCTGAGGGTTTCCGTCCTCGCAATCATGTCTGAAACCAATAGAGTACAGGCCCTTTTTGTTGCAAAAGGGACGGGGACGATGGGGCTTGCAACCTCTAGTGCGGCAAGGAAGCAAAGCCTTGAACCTCCCTCGCAGACATAATTTGTTATCATTCTGTGCTAGCTCCCTCCCTTTCTCGCTCTGATACATAGCTTGACCATCTCTCGATAATGTCGCCCAAAGTGAGGCACTACGTGCAACTTGCAGCCAATGCGAGCAGTGAGGCACTGTAGCTGTGACCACCCTCTCTAGAATGGATGCAAACCGGCGCTGTCTTGACATCCGGTCCGCGATCTTTGAAACTCACAATGAGACAAGCCAGGCAACCCCTCACAGTCGAGTGGGGTACCACAAAGTCACAAAGGCGAACGCGAACTTCCAAACACATCACGTACGCCATTGACAGCAGCTGGACTGACCGACAATCGGCTGGCACACCCATGACTACCGGTGCGCTTCGGCCACAGGAGTTGACTGCGACACACGCCTTTGGGGCCTCGAGCTTGGCCCGGCTCGGAAACCTCTGTGCTGTTCAATGAGCGACTCAGGTCATCTCCGATCACAATCTTGCACATGAGCTCAAGAGGTGCAGGAGTCTTGAAAGGTCCTTGAACGGGTTGACGTAGATAACCTGTCTTCGGAAAATCTAACACTGACTTTCAAGAGCAGTCATCAAAAACCGACACTAGGTCACTAGGTCGCTCGAGCAAAGCGCCCTGAGCCACAGAATCACAGAGCTGTGCCGAAAATGCCAAAATGCCAAGCAGCTGTCTCTTTACCGCCACCTCGGGTAATGCTCGCAACAACTAACTGCAGATGGGACTGAAGAGGATCATACTGCTCGGTAGGTTGTGGAGGAAAAACTTGGGAGCATCAGGCTAGCGGCCGGGAGTGCCGTACTCGATCAGTTTCTCGCCACCTCGCTTGAGTACCTGCAGCTTGAAGGATTGATTCTGCTTTGCATTTGGCTCTATTGTTTTGAAGCTCAGTGTTTGGGGAACTCTTATTTCGCGCAGGATCGACGGCTGAAATCATACTCCGGCCATGACGGCACGAACAAACACGCGAAGCACATCTTACACCACACCCTTTATGGTGCAACGTGGCAAGTGTTTACCGTGCACCGGTCAGCTTTGTGACTGCCAGCGGGGACGTCCTTCAATGAACCAGAGCAACCCGTATGGCAGGACTTGTGGCGGGACATGTATGCAAAGGTGACACGACTTGCGTGTTGTACATGCAGAGTAGGGTGTCAAGGTTGTTGATGGAAAGACAACCTACTGAGATACCAGTAGGTTACCAGCATCATGTTCAACACTTAGGAAACTGCAAGGTAATGGTATCTCGAGCCATTATCTTGCCAGCAACACGAAGCAGCAGCGCCCACGAGAAACCCTTGCAGCAGGGGCCCACACGCCATTTTCAGTGTAAAAGTAGGGCTTGGATACGTACTCTGCCAGCTGCTGGTCTTTCCAGGCCTTGGCGACGGCCCCTCCAACCCCGAGCTGTCAGGACCCAGCTCGGCCAAAGAAGATAGTAGCCACATGTGGATACCGATGCATATGCAATGGCCATAAGCATTTGCTGGAAAAGAAAATGCACATCACCGAACAGCTCTTGCAAATCCACATCAGTCACGAATAAATGTACCGTGAAAGCCCCCTCCAACATATTATGAGGAACGAACTCTGAGACGGTTTGCCGTGGAAACCTTCACGCGAGTCGACATGCTGCGAATGCACAGACAGGCTTGAAACCTGTCAGTTTAGCATGTGGGAGATTTGTTTCAACAAGGCCGATCAGGGCGCCGACAACCACAAGAAGAATCGTCTCTGGGCTGCTCACGTTGAGATGATCGACCCACTCTTGGACGTCATCCCATCGTTCTGTGGCAGAAAGACGGGCACGTGCTTTCAACTTCAATCCTTCCCCCACCGCAGGACTAGTGTTCAGCAGACGCACGATTTGAGGCTTAAATGCTCAAAAGTTTTCTGCATGTCTCACAGCCCTGCATGATGCCCACGTTGACTGCAGGGCCCGGCCTGAGTGTCCAGGAATGCAACCTAAATTCTCATCTCTGAGCCCGCCATGCACGAAAAGAGAGCTGTCAAGCGCGAGACCTGGCAGGCAAGCAGGGAAACTGCAGAAACACGGCGGGCAAAGCTTGCGATGCTTCTAACGTGACAGCCGGCTTTGTACCTGTACCGCTGCCACCATCCTAAAGAGCGCTCTTGCCTTTGAGGCTTCATGTAAACTGTGAGGCTAGCGCACCCGATCTGCATGGAGCCCTTCAGCTCAGCTGTGCATATGTTGTGCAAGAGATGCATGGCATAAGCACTGTGCGGAAATCTCAGAGCAAGCATGGGACATGGTCCGAAACGGCATATCGCAAAGACCCTGTCGACTGTCGCCAGCACCAGTGTCTCGACACTGTCTTGACCGGGCCTATCTGCCCCAAAGAGATGAACTCGAACATCCAGGGGTCGGCACCTCGAAGCGAGGCCGGAAGGCGCGAGACGACTCAAAACCGATTTACCCGCCCAAGAGCTATCTCTCTGGCTTCCGAGATGTGCAGACATGGTAGACACTTGTTCTCGTAGGATGCAGAAGTAGTAAGAGCAGGTGAAGTGTGGAGCTCGGAATCATGAGCGCTTGTGGCGAGCGGCTGCGAGGATCCACGGAGCTGACATAACCTCAGCTCCAGACCAAGCCCGTGCAATGCACGTGACAACTGAATGCGGACATGATCTCAAGAAAGACCGCGCTCCCTGTTAGCCAGCCAGGGCAGTGCATCGACGCGCCCATGCATCACTGAAACTGAGCTTCATGTTCTGTTGACATGTGGAAGTATTATGCTTTCACTGCATCGAAGGCAACTGAAGGCCCTTTGCAGCCCTTGCACACATCTAGACCTTCGTGGTGCAGGCCAGACTTTGTCAAACAGTGCCTCCTGCTCGCACGAGACTGCGGTGCATTTGCAACCTTTTGGTTTGATCGTCTGGTCTCGGTCTGAAATCGGAAAGCCATTGAATTGTCCCTGGTTGGGTCTCAAGCTCAATTCGCAGGTTACTCGGTGAGGGCCGACGAATGACTGCGTGCGGGTCCTGGCTGCCAGGGCTAGGGGGGACTGCGCGGATATGCGCGGATTGACTTCGGTGATTCGCAGTCGCCTCACTGGTCTGCTGCCAAAGTGCAAGGTCTCCCCCAGTTTTGTTTATTTGGGGGAGTCGCACAGGATGAAGGATGCATTTGGCCGCTTGTAAAAAGGAGTGTGGCAAAGTCCACACCTGCCAGACTCATGGCCTGTGAAGCCCTCACCAACCGGGAAGATATTTGGCGCGATTTCGGAACAGGCGGCTGCGCAAAGTTGCTGCTTTCTTGGCTAGCGGATCCGAAATTATCAAAAGCTGAAGTGCATCTCATGTACAAGGAAGTCTAGCGAGTCCACTTGCAGAACCTGAAAATCACCACAAGCAGAACTAAGGGAGGTGCTCTCCAAGACGTCCTGGTCGGAGGCACGTCCCCGAAGCAAGGCGAGCTCGCTCTTCCTCGTGCTGAAGGTCGTGTCCTCCGACATGGCTTATCGCTACATTATGCGGCCCTGGCTTTCCCAGTGTTCCGATGGCCTTGCTGGCTGCCAGTTTCATGGTCGTGAGCCGCGCCGGTTGGCACGACATACTCGGACTCTTTGCAACACATGTCTGCTAGAGACTACTCAGATCAAGGGCCAGCGAGAGCCTCACCGCATTTTCTCACATTTGCCTGCTCAACATCCCGTCGGATAGATAAGCGTTTGGCAGGGCGGCTATACCGCCTGGAAAGGTGGAAACTATCTTCAAAGAATATTCAAACACACAGGCTTCGCCTGCACCACCCGAGCAATTCTTCGGGTGATTTGAAGAATTGAAATTTCGCATGGCTGCCCGTTTCAGGCTGTAACTTCCGAAAGCAGAAGGACGTCTCGCTGGGTGTTCCCCAAGCTAAGACTCTTCAAACTCCTCAGATGGTCTGCTGCTGCTGCTGCTGGCCATGTGCTTTTTCAGGTTTCTCCTCTCTCTTCCAATCTGGATCCCGTGAGACGTCCACGGGCTGTCGTGCTGGCGGCTTGCCTGATCGGGTCAAAGAGGCACCTCAGCGAGTTGCGAAACCTTCGCTGCCTTGCCCAGTCTTGCTGAAGATCCCTCCCGAATTGTTCTTGCCCCGCAGCTGTCCTAAACCAGGCCTTGCTACTGGATTCACTGCTTTACCCAAGGACACCATCGAATGAAACACATTACTTGCAAATGCTTGGCTGAGGTGCAAGCAAGTTCCGATGCAGGTCTGTCTGGTGGCGAACGATCTCTAAGCTCGTCACCCGTTTCCGGCGCATCCCTTCTCATTTGCCCGCTTTGATTCCTGCATAGCCCACGCCAGTGCAACCCAAAGTCATGACGGTTGAAGCTTACCCGTGGAAGAGACGGGGAGCGTCGAGCCTGTCTGCACCTGTCACCGACTCTGCGAGGAGCCCCAGCTGGCTCTCGACCACTGACTGGGATTGCTTCAGGGCATCTGCGGCGTCCCGGAAAGCGGCATCCAAGACCAGCAGCGCTGCCTGCACAGAATCTACGGTGCAGTTTCAGACACCATAGCAGCTGTATCATGCCTCCTCCAGATCCTGCTCGTGTCGGGACAGTATCTTTAGGAAGAGTGCGGCCAGCCTCTAAGGCCGTCTCCATGTCACCCTTGAGATTGTTCAGCTGGGGAGAGAGGATGGACGCATGTGGCTGCTCCAAACTATGGGCATCGGGAGAAACCTTCTCCTAGCGAGCAGAGATGTCAGGAAACTCTGTGGTCACCACCACACCGACATCCACCTGCACTCACACCCACGACACACAGACGGTCCCGTATGACCTCGTCAGCCTTGCGCTCCAGTTTCTCCGCGGAGACCTTCAACCGCTGAGCAGCAAGTTGCGAGCTTCGGCTGGCTGAACAAGTCTCAGGATCTGATGCATGTGTAGGAGTCTGGGGTCGAGACCGGGTCTTTTGTTGCACCTTCGCTGAACGCTACCGTCGACGTCTTTGTCGCGCATCCGTGCTTGGCGGCAAGATTGTTAAGGACCAAAGACATTCGATCAACCCGTTCGAACATGGAGTTGAAATTCTCGTGCGAGAACCGCAGTAGCTCCTCCTTCAGGGTTGTGGCTGATTCAAGATGTTTGAAGACAACACCTCCTCTTCCACAGATCTCGGTGCATCACGGTGAAACCACAGACTTCAGTACTAGTAGTGGGGAGTTCGAGAGAGTAAGGGGAAGGGGAGGGGAGAGGAGTGGAGCGGGCAGGCAAGCAGCACTAGGACTCCCCGTTGCCACTTGCTCGGCGCAACTGCCTCCGAACCTGGGGTTTCCAGATGCTTGAATTGCTAGACACTCGAGTTCAAGCGGGCAAGAACTAGGATTACGGAATAGCAGCTAGGCCCACATTGCCTGCAAGCTTCTTCATTTCCAGCTGTCCTGCTGCGTCATCGCACGCAACAAGTTGTACTTGATGAAGCGCGGCGCAGTCTTGGAGTCATGTACCCAACCTGGTTTAGGGTCGCATCAAATCGTGGAGGTTGCTTCGACGGGTGGGATTGGCTCTCGATTCCTCTCAAGAGCCACAAAAAAATTCTGTTGCATGCTGCTGCTACAATTGAAAAGGTCCAAACCCGAGCACTCCGCAAGGGATGCTTTAATCTGCTCAGCCGCGGCTTAGTGGGACGATGAACTCCTCCACTGCAATAGAACCGGATCCATCGGCATCAATCATGTCAAAAAGCTGCTGCAGGTCAACCTGAGGCAAACGCGAAGGCTTTCAACAACGATAAAAGTGCAGGTGCAAAAGCACTGCAGGATAATGCGAACAGTCTGTTGTGGCGATGACTTCGTGTCTCAAACCTGCGCACCCTTAATTCTGTATGTTTGGTCGGACAGCAACTGCATTGCGAGGGCAGCTGCTGGTCCTGTGTTTCTGTCCCCATGACGGGAGCTGTTAAGATGGTCCACCAAAATCCCCGAAACCTTCCCATGTCCCAGTAAACTGACTGGCCTCGTCGATATCCATGACCTTCAGCCGGCTTTGAAACTCAGAGTCGTGGTGGGCACCGTCGAGTAGCTCGTCCAATGTCAATTCGCCATCCTCATCAACACGCAGGAGCCGATTTCGTCCAAAAAAGCACGTTTGCAAAACTACGTTGTCTGACTTTGACTGTTTCAATAGTTGCAGACGGCGTGCAGGCTCTTGCTCCAGTCTACTATTTGGCCAGCGCCTCCCCCAACATGAATTCCACGACCACTCTCTCTCTCTCTGTCCTTTCTCTCTCCTTTCCCAAGGGACGGGGGTCGGGGTTTCCCCCGGCCAGCGCGCAGGTGCGGCCCCCACCCGTTGTGGAGAAGCAGGGAGACAGGCTTACCGGCTCGGGGTGTCCCAGGAAAGAAACAACCAGATCAGTAGATTACCAAAGGCAATATACTATATACATACACCCTAGGAAGTGCTGGAGAGCGTATCAGCATTTCGCCGCGGACAAACGTATTGGTACAGCTTTGAAACCCGCGGGGAGCGGGTGCAAGTCACGAAGCATCAAGGAGGCGCCAGCGGCCCGTCTTGAAAATAAACTCAGCATGAAAGGAATTGAGGATGGTAAAATCAGGTATTAGGACAGCACGAATGTCGGCGAAGAGAAAGGAAACGACTGGAGTTGAGGCCATTGGCCTGTGGTCAAGGAACAAGAAATTTGACACTTGCAGGACCGGCGACATGAATCCAATTACGCATCCTTTTGGTGGTCACTCAGACGGGGATCACCCCTCACTGGATCAAACTGGTAGAACTCGCTGAGGGCAAAGCGGGCATCCCCCGGCCAAGGCGATTCGCCAGAGTCAGCGCCTCCTCTTTTTGGCATTACGCTTGTCGGCCCCCTCCACTCATGTTGTTGCCGCGCCTTCTTTCGCATAGCCCTATACTGCTCCTTCTGAGCTTTGCGGTATGCACGCCATGTCTGCTCGTCATTGTCTTAGGGTCTCACATGCACTCCCCCGACTTCAAAGCCTTCTTGTAGTACTTGGTGAAGTCGGCTCCGTTGCTGTGGTGTGAGCTTCGACGGCTCACCTTCCGGTAGGGGTGGGGCGGACTGAGCCCACTTGGGGGGGGCTCTCCGTGGGGCGGATGTCCAACTGCGTCTCGTGCCAAGAAGGGCGCATTTAACTGGGCCTTTCCTTCCGGAGTGACAACGGAGAGCTCGGTTTGGGCTGGTGTGGTACGGACCCTGGCACTTTCCGGTGGAGGCATCGGCTTTGTGGGCTTCTCCGGCCCGGCGGCGCTGCCCTTGTTTGGGTTGAGAGATGGCCCCTGCTCTTACGTCTCAAGGGCGCCATCCCCTCGGCGGGGCGACTTGTTTGTAGGTAGTTGTCCAACAGGAGCAGGTTCATGTTCTGGTAGTCTGTGAGGTTCAGATAGGCGAGCAAGAAGAGCGGCAGCAGGAAGCTCCCGTGCCGGCTCATCCGACGCCAAAATTGCCTCAAGAGCCTCTCGCGTATCAGGGTCGCGTGGTGCCGATCTTCCAATGCAATTTGGCCTTTGCCAAACCCCGGCACGGCTTCGATGTGCTCTCGCAGTCGGGAGGCAGATTCGGGTTCGTTCCGGATCGTCAGCTCTAGGAGGTGGTGACCATCACTTGTGATCTTGCGGTTCTTATATGTTCTTATGCTCCTCATCCATGATATCCATGTAGGTCTCAAAATCCGCGGCGTCTTCTCGGGAGGGTTTCTCCCGGTGTCTTCCAGGAACTTCCACGTGTTCCCCGATGTTGGCGAGGTAACGAATACTGCGATTGGCCCAGTCCTTAATTGCTTTGTTGTGTAGTCGAAGGCGAAGGCCATGGTTCTGCAGTGAAGGTGGCGCTCTTCGGGGCAGTTGGAGGTTCTCATCCTTGTCCGGGCTCTTGGTCTTGGGCTTATTATCCTTTCTAGGTTTGGCTGTGGATGTTCTCGCCGAGGATGGCGTGGTAGTCCGAGGTTCCCTGTTGACTGGTGGCAGCAGGGCTAGATGTTCATCTGTAGCAGCTTGTATTTCCTCGTTGAGGAGCAACATCTTGACGTCGTGGAGTGACAAGTTCTGTGTTCCAAAGAGCGCGCAGTTGTCCGTGTCGGCATTGTGCTTGGCGTGGCTAGCACTCCTTATAATTAATAGGTATCGCTTGCGCAAGGGATGCGTGTCTGTCGCAGGAGTTTCTTTCGGAGTGGTAGAGGGCGATGGAAGTCTCGTCGTGGTGGTCGAGGAGCCTTCTGCCGTCAGAGTCACTGGGGCCTGAGGGTCGAGCAGAACAGTTTCACTGCCTTTGCCACGGCAACTTGTTTCAGGTGCCGCTGGACCTCAGCTGCATCCGTGTCTTCACACCCGAAAAGGACGCAGGAGGGATCATTCCGGTAAAATGGGCCTCTGTGGAAACTAGGCCGACGCAGACACCGCTGGCACGGTGGTGTGCTGCTGCTCCTGGCTTCAGGGGTCTCCCCCTCTCCCTGTCATCCTTTTCTGGAAATATGCATTCCCGATGGTGCTGCTGTAGTTATCGCGAACTCACCCAACAGGTACTCAGTCTCCCCTGGATCTTGCAATGGAACGTCCCCGCCTTATTCGTTACCCGTAGAATCGCCGACGCCCGTCAGGTTGCTGTCCTGAGGGTCCTGCTCGCGCCTCCCAGCCGCGGTCACCGTTGGGGTCCGTCCCCTACTAAAGTCCTCCGTCCGAACATTCACGAGGAAGACACAAGGTACAGCGAAGTCACCGATGTGGTCGATGGCTTCGGGGGCTCCTGGCACTAGCAAGCCTGGGCCGAAATGCGGCGGGAGACTCAAGCACGGCTGGGGGAAGGCGATGGGAACTCCCCTTTGGGCACAACCTCAGGCCAACCCCCCCTGCATGGTGCTGGTGCTGGCCGGGAAGTGAGGTCCAGCTGCTTTGCAAGGCCCCCCAGCCTCTTGGGTTTCTCAGCGAGAGCGTCTTGCTGCTCTCGGGTCATGTGTCTGCAACCTTCTCGGTTGCCTTCCGTGCCTTTCCCCCGCGTCTGGGGTGCTGCTTCTGCTGGTCATCGGTGAGGTCCTGGTACTCGTAGTACTGCTGGATCACCGAGAATTGCGGTGAAAAGTTGTATGCTCTCTCCCCCTACTGACGGGCCACTCATCGCAGAAGGGCCGTGTTCAGGATCGAGAGTGGCTCAGATACCCTCAGGGCCACTTGAGTCGAGAAAAAAAGAGCGGTACGGACAAGACTAAAGCAGCGCTGGGAAACAAGCGAAACCAGGTCAGCCCCCACAGCTCCCCCCCGATGCAAGGAGGCGCTACAGGCCCCAAAGCAAAGGTGCAGCACTTGAGCCAAAATCGCTACTCTCTCTTCTTTCTTTCGCCAGGGCTATGGACCAGGGGTTTCGCTACACTCTCTCTTTTCTTTCGCCAGGGCTCCGGGCTCGAGGGTTGCCCCTCTCTCTCTCTCTCTTGCTCGCTTGCTTTCTGGGGGTAGGGGAGGAGAACCTCCCTGTCCCGTGGGCCTCGGTAGTTAACCCCCCTCCCCCGTGGCCGGCTTAAACAGGGTTTATTTGGAAGCTGACACTCGGGTTTCGTTGTAGTCATACATCCTCACAGGAGGGCCGGCTAGTTAGTAATAACGATCTAGAGTACGTATTGGAGCGACGA